CACGTGCAGTTTTCTTCTGTTATTACTACGGTATCTGTCTTTAATCCTGAGAATAGCGTAGCTCCCCCTACGACGCTCGGTCCCGGGGTCCCAGATAGTGCACTATAGAAACATTTTGTGTTTCCCGCCGCACTGAGACTGACGTGTTTTCATTGGTCAGCCGGTTAGCGCGGTCGATGCGAATAATAAAAGCACACACACACAACTGCGAGCTGTCGTGACAGGACCATAGCAGAGTGTCATGATCACAGGCACGGGTCGTGGCACGTCATAGCATGCTGTAGGATTTGGACTTACGTGATGAAGGATTCGTTTACCCAAACAAGCCCAAAGGCTGATTTGTGAAATCCAAGCTCGCACGAGGTGACGACCACTGCTGAAGCACGTGATCGGGGAAGGTGATGCCCATGGATGGGTTAAATAACACCATGTGAGCGTTTCCGTCAGGTTGCACGAGGCGCTCTCGAAACCAGTTCGCTGTGCAGCCTCACGTAAGGCGTCATTGGCTGCGTTTGGCAACATTCACGATACACCATAGCAAGAATACACCAAGCGACATCGGCCGCCAGCCGCACCCGCAGCCGAGGTTTGGGCAGAAACAATTCCGATTTTGGGAACAAAATTATCCGAAGTTAAAAGAAATATATATGTTGTTTTTCATTTAAATCAACCTTTTTTGGGTTTTTTGGAAGACAAGTGGAACTTTCGTTTGTTTTATTGGCTGCTCGGCCATCGTTGACTGTCCATCAACAAGGCGAGATGTGGGGCCATCGTCGTCGCTCTTATTCACTCGATGTGACAGACGGACGAGTGACGTTCCACACACGAGCGAGACGAAGCTTAGCGGATATTCCCTGACTGGCCGCGGCCATCGCGGAGTGCGTTTTATTAGAGGCGAGATGTGGGGCCATCGTCGCCTTCATTCGAGAGCAACGCTGATGTACGCGTGGCGCACCATACATTAGTTGGAAAATTCGAATTTTCAAAATTCCTAGCGCATACAAAAAACAGCAGTAGACTATGCTACATGTTGTCCCGAATCAGCAAGGAAAACACACCCTACTGTACCTGCTGGCAACCCCTCAAGCAATCCCTACCCTCGAAGCAATCTCTGGAGAGAGGGTAGAAGAAGGCTCGCCAAAAGCAAGATGCTTTGGTTTGGGCGAAGGATGAAAGTGAGAGGGTGGGGGTGCGTGGGGAGGATCGAGGGCGGGGCGCCTTCCTTGTTCCCGTTCCATGATTTGAAGCAAAACAGATAGTTCCCTCAACTGTCACGACGGCGACCGCTGCGCGTCCACATCGAGCCTGGGCCTTGATCGGCACGTTGGTCGGCCCGTTGATCGACCCTCTTGTGGCTCGTTGCAGGACATGCGTTCGAACATACCGGATACCTTTCAACGTCTGGGACAAGGAGAGTTTTTTTTGTGGCCTCGTGATGGCGGAGAGCGGCGGGATTGTGAGGATTGCGAATGTATTCTCGTGGTTGCGAGTGACCGTTGTGATGTATGATGTGGAGTTTCGCGTGAGCTCGGGAGTCTCGGGTGGTGTTGTTTCTGAAGCTCGGACAGCGCGCGGGACTGTGAAATTTGACGGGGGAGAGGGGTATACGCACGTAGGTGCCCCGCCCAGCGCGCACACAAGTCTGCAAAAAAACTGTGCATACATGAGCAACAATCTGCCGTTTTCCCTCCATTCACTGCAAAGACTCCAACACATACATCCCGGTCGACAGTGAGTGGTGGTGATATGTCTCGAACGGTAGACTCTGTGCTTGTTTGCATATAGACTACTCTTTTGTCAAAATAAGCAACAATCTGCAAACACCAGTCTGTTGGAAACTTGTGTCATGCGGTAACAACCATCGTATATAAAAGTAGAGCCAAATTTAATTCGGCTAGACAAACTCCAAGACTAATAATAATTTTCACGCATCCGTACGCGATATAGATAGAGCGGGTGGGTGTGGAAGATGATGTTTTGCATTGTTCCGAGATTAGGCCAACCTTTTACCAAATACAGGCAAACCAGTTCGCTGTGCTGCCTCACGTACGGCGTCATTGGCTGCGTTTGGCAACATTCACGATACACCATATAGCAAGAATACACCAAGCGACATCGGCCGCCAGCCGCACCCGCAGCCGAGGTTCGGGCAGAAACAATTCCGATTTTGGGAACAAAATTATCCGAAGGTATTATAGAGCGGGTGGGTTTGGAAGATGATATTTTGCATTGCTCCGATAGTAGGCCAACCTTTTACCAAATACAGGCAAGAGCTCTCGCGCACTTGACCTCACAAGTTCGCGAGCACTGCCTCTGCCAGCGTGATCTTCCTGTGCTTTGTAGGACTGCAAGCTACCATTAGAGCGCAGACGGGTGATAACGGCGACAACATGCTTCGGTGTCAGTCCAATGAAAAGAAGACCTTTTCGGCGACACTCGCTGTTTCTTCTCGGGCAATGGAGGCCGCTCTTTCTCAGAGGCGGCTGGAGATGGACCACGAGTGGGACAGCATTGATGAGGGATGGCAGACGCTCCGGGAGCGTATGACAGAAGTCGGCATCACCAAGCCTTTAGAGTCGAAAGAAGGAATAGTGAAGTTGAACGTGGGCGGTTTGCTTCTCGCCTTTCGTCGGTCGGTTCTTGACAGTGAAGGAAAGCAGCAGCCTCCGACTTGGGCGCTGGGAAATCTGTTCGAGGCTGAGTGGGACAAGCGTGTTCCCCGTGATTCAGATGGTCACATCGTGCTTGACGAGTCGCCGACTTGCGTCAAGCAACTCGTTCACCGCCTACTTACCGCTTCCTCTTCCTCCAAAGCTACCGTAGGTCGTGCGGGTGATTTCGCCCGCAACGAAGACCCTGCCCTTCTTCACTACACGGCGGGTGTCCTCGGTCTGTCTGGATGTTTGGCTCCCGTCGGGATGTCGATACAGGGAGGGACCACTATCTTTGAACCCCACGAGACCAGCAAGCTGACTGCTGTCGTTCAAGATTGGTGTCCTGGGCATCCTGGTGGGCTGGAACTGCTCTACCGTGCTTCCCGCGACGGCTGGAACGGTGCTACCTTCAATGCACGGTGTAAAGGCGACAGTCCCTCAACAGTGACCTTGCTCCGGGTGAAGGGCTGCGAGACAGGTGGGACGGACAGCATCATTGGGGGGTTCTCCAGCGTTCCGTGGAGCCCTGCAATTCAGAACTATTCGTACGGGTACTACCTCCGCGGTTCTCCGGGAGCATTCGTGTTCATACTGAAGGATGAAGGAAAAGGATCGAGCACCTTTCCACCGATGAAGTGGGGCGTCAAGAACGGGCTGGCCGCAAAAGCCGTCAATCAAGGATGTGGACCCTGCTTTGGGGAATGTGACCTAAAGGTGAATTGGAATGGCAACATGAGCACTGTCGGCACGGACAACTCCACGTACGATGTACCGGCCGGGTCTCATTTTCTTCAACTCAATGGGCGTCACCTCCTGGATATCGAGGCATTTCGTGTGTGCTCTAAGCCGACACATACCCTCCCTTTGGCCAAGCAAGAACATCGCGCGGGAGAAGGCACGAATACACCGACGGCACCTGTGAGGACTAGTGACGATGTCCCTACCTTTGGGCAGTTGATTGCTGACTCGTTGATGGAAGCGGAGATGGTGCTGCAAGACGCCGGCATTGAGCTTGCCCTTGCCAAGGCCAGGACGACCGCATGCGCAACGGCCTTGGCGGCGGTATACGGACCAGACGTGGCAAGCGGACAACAGGAGGACGTTGTGGAGCTGAGCGTACGTGGGACAGCAATGACGACTCTACGCTCCACCCTGAGGGTTTGCCCCGACTCCGCTCTTGCCGCTCGGTTTGACGAGGGCAAATGGCCGGCGGCGAAGAAGGATCTCGACAGCGACGGGCGTCGTATGATCGACTGTAGGCCGGCTGTCTTCTCCAAGGTACTAGATGTACTGCGCATAGCAAAGCGCGCAGCGTGGGCTGGTGGCGAAAACCTTCAGGGAATGAAAGAGACTCGCGTCACCATCAAGCCCGGTGACCGTGTGGCGTTTGAAGAATTTGTGGACATGTACTTCAAGGGCTGCGAAAGCTTCATCATGGCGCACGTCTGTCTTCCTGGCGACGAGGCGGACACTTGCTGAGTGCCCGGCGTTGATTCTTACGGAAGAGATTGGGCTACGGTAAGAATGTGTTGCGTTGAGGCAGTAGCCGTCCGAGCGATAGCTGCATGATGCGAGAGTCACCTGTCGGTAGATTGTGTTTACGAAAACAGTGATTCATGCATCCAGCGCGTGTCGAACGTTGACAACGGGAGAGGCTTACCCAGGATTTTTATTTGCTTCTTCCGATATTCCCAACATGGTGATGATCAACCCCTGTAGCGTTTCAGGTGTGTCCTCCTCGTGAGTCGCAGTAGGGACTTCTTGTTCGATTGTCTCTTCCGCTTGGGGGTGTGTGATTAGTACCCTGAAGCTTTCTCCATTGACTGGCCCACTACTCCCCTTTCATGAATTCCGTAACCGCTGCGGCAGTGAGACTGAAATGTACAGACTCTTTCTAGCAGCATCAACATTATCATTTCTATGTTCGTGTGTGTGCATATGTGGGAAGGATCTGAGAACGGTTCTGTGTTCTGTAGATGAAGGGACATACGATGGTACCTTTTGTGGTAGACTTTCGACAAGTCAGCGGTGCCCCATGCTGCGTCAGCCCGCGTGGGGCACTGTCTTTCTCCCCTGTCTGTCGTGCGTTAGCCCTGCGGATCTAGACTAATACAAGCTATCAACGAGACTTTCTAGTCGCTGGACACAAATAAATACGGGCATACCCGGCATAAGACTCCGGCTCTAGGAGTTATCAACACTAAAAAGAACTTCTTCACCGGCGCGCCTCCAGATGTTGGAGGGGCAACGCGGGCCAACGCTCTCCAGATGTAGGGGAGGGCAACATTTCTTCACCTCCGCGCCTCCAGATGAAGGGGGGGCAGCGCAGAATTTTTCGGTTGGGCGGTTCTCCAGATGAAGAGGGGAGCTGCTCGGTCATCACAGATCTCCGCCAACGCGCTTCCAGATGCAGGGGGGGCAGCGTAGGCATTTGCCGTTGCAGTCGGCGCGCTTACCAGGGTGGCGAGCAGCAGCAGGGATCTTTGCTGGTGGGTTGGAGGAGCCGGAGCCCGCTCGGCAACGGAGTCAAGACCCCTGCTGAGACCGACAATTTTCGGTTGGTACCGTTAGAGAATACTCGGAGCAGCTTTGAGTTTTTTTTGTGTGTAGTCACAAAATATGTGAGGGAATCCAATGTTGCGTTGAACCGATGTTAGTGAACGTGCATGTCCCTGACGACCTCCCCTCATTAGTCGCTACCGTGTTTGTATCGTATAAATGTTTTCCCTTGCTGTTTGAATTGTTCGCGTAGGACATTCATTCGCAACAGCGAAACTCAAAGGCTAGATGTCACGACGTTTTAGGTATTGATCTGATGTTCTGTTTGTTACGTGGGAGGTCGTTCCAACGCTCGCAATCCAAATTGCCGCCCCCCCTGGCACGCAGTAAGTTGAATGGTTGTGTTTCTTCATGCCTGTTGCTGTATTTCAGCCAGCGTTGGTATTATATGTATGCTTGCTTGTCGTCCTCTGAAAATGTTGAGATGATCATCCGAACCGATTGATGTAGTTTGGTCCGCTTAGTTGTCGCTATGTTGGGGAATTGGAGTAGGCAAGACGCCAACGTTAGCACTGCATTTGGTCGTCGTTTCTAGGGAAGTGGAGTAGTTGAGATGAAAACGAGGATGTTTTATTTGGTAGTCGTAGAATCATTGCGAGGAGGGTTTTTGGCTCGGTGGCCGGGTTTTCCCTTGCAACGCATTTTTTCTGTGTGATTTTCGGTGATACCCGAGCATGTTGAGCAGCACACGATGATGTGGTTAATTACTAATGTAAGGAACCAGGGAGGGTGTTCGTGTGTGTGGACATGTGGGGAGGGTCTGAGGACGGTTCTGTGTTCCGTAGATGAAGGGACATTAGATGGTACCTATTGTGGTAGACTTTCAATGAGTGAGCGGTGCCCCCATGATGCGTCAGCCTGCGTGGGGCACGCTCTTCTCCCCTGTCTGTCGTGCGTTAGCCCTGCGGATCTAATACAAGCCATCAACGAGACTTTCTAGTCACTGGACACAAGTACGGGCACACCCGGCATAAGACTCCGGCTCTAAGAGTTATCAACATTCTATTCTCAAGGGAGGTCCGCGCAACATGTTGTCTCGTGCTTTGCCTCCAACTTTTTGGCCTTATTGGCCCACCTTGCGACATAGAGACCATGTCTGAAGTGCTTCCTTGCTTGTTACAGGTAGGGTCACCATCCTTCCGCCGCTTATGCGCTTGCCGTTGCTGCTTGCGACCTCCCATCAACTTTGTTTCACTTGCATTTTTACATCCATCCCTGTATTGGTGCGGATTTTCGAAAGGCGAAAGGACCATTCTTGCTTTCATGAGCCTTCAACTTTCAACGCCCGTTCTTGCTGCATTTACTTGTCGCAAGATGCAGTCCGTGAAAGCTCATTATAATCCCGTGCTCGCCTTCCCTTTCGTAGTGTTGCGAGATTTGGCTCTTGATATGTATGTGAGCNCTGTTCTGCTCGTTGAGCCTGGCGCCCTCCCGCTTGGCGGCAGCCCGGCGGTCGGCACCGCCTGTGCAGACAATACCCTCTCCGGTCCCGTCGTCCTCTCGCTGAGCGCCCTCGGGGAGGAGATTGTTGCACACTTGGTTCAGCTCGGGGTATTTCTCGATTGCGCAACCGAGAACATACGTGTCCGTGCACCCTGTAAAACAAAAAAAAAATGCAAGGCGCGGGCGGGAGTTTTTTTTGGACCAATTGGTGTGGTCTTTGGTCGTGCTTCAAAATACACCATCAGGCCTCAATGCCAACGTCATTCCTGGAGCACGGTTTACAACACTGTCGAGAACTCCAAGTATAACATCAAAACTCCGACCGTAGCAGCACTTGCACGCTGTGAAGGAGGATGGGCGGAATTTATGCCACGACCACAAAATCGCCCAAGCTTCCTCGAGCAAACAGACGCTATTTTGTACCCAGCCCCACTCCACCCATCCCTTACCTTGACAAAATGAAAGCCATGGCTGGTTGTTGCCGGATTCACTCTTCCAGTTGGCATAAGGCTGGTTCCACTTCGCCTTTGCCGTAGCCCACATCCTGGAAAGCTTCTCCGCGGAGATGTTTGGTTGCTGGATGATGTTCGGGTCGACGTGAGACACTTGCTCGTCGTCCACGATTTTTCTCACCTGCAAAACGTCCACATCACCCATATATGGGGCATGCATACAGCGAGAGAGCGAGGGAGCGGGCAGCGCAGATCATACACGTGATCTNACATACCGAACGGGGAATGCACCTCTCGTGGGAAGCTTAGTACTGTCGGCCTGATCCCGGCCTGTATTTTAGCGTTGCTTCTGCAGTGTTATTTTTTTCTGTCGTGTAATATTGTTTGGCTATGCACTCCTGTGGAATTCTTCTGCGCGTTTTCTAAGTCTTCCACCAATAGGTGAAGGTTTCGAAGCAACTACAGCAGTATGATCGGCGTCGGCGTCAGCAACAACACCATAAGTTACCGGTGTACGTCAACAGCAGGTTGACCCGCTCTTGGGGGTGGATACCTCATGGGTTTTTACCTAAAACAATGGCGATCGTCCGTGGACGTCATGAGGTGTTGAGTGCGATGGCGAAAATGACCACAAAAAAAAGGCATGCGTGTCAACATACATATCGACTGCTGTCTATGTACAA